TGAAAGATTCAAGTCCAAAAATTATAAGATCTTTTGGAGCTCAGTACCTCATGATGTACATGGCAGGGCAGCTGCTGCAAATGTCATCAAAATGACCCCTGGAATCACAAGGTTTGCTGTGACCAGAGTCAGTGACATCAAGACATGTTTTGAGCTATTTATGCCATTGTCACTAAAACGAATCATCATTACTATGATGAACCTTGAAGGAAAAAAGTCCATGGCAACATGTGGAAAGACATTGATGAGGAATACCTGGATTGAACTGGTGTTCTTCTTGTTGGAGTGTACAGATCCTGCAATGAGGACACTGATAGTCTATGGGGCGCATCGACAGGCAGAAATATTTTCCGCGCAACAATGTCACTTCAGACATTTGAAATGATATCAAGAGTCCTCAGATTTGACAACAGAGACCAGAGTGAGATCTGACAAGCTTGTTCCTATCAGGGATGTCTGGGAGAGACGAGTGCAGTTCTATTGCTGAAAAAATCCTTTTTTTGCCTTTTTTTGATGTAAATATATATGGATCGAAATTGATCCGTAACACCATAGATGTTACTTTAGTTATTAATATTAAAATGAAAAAATAAATAAAACAGATTTATTTTAGAGATGTGTTCTATGAGACTGATACCAGGCATCCACGATCCATTGGCAGATAATGGCGTAACTCGTCCAGCATTGCCTCCCTGTCTTGGTGAATGTGTGTTCGCCTTCTGTCATCCAATGCTCCCACACAGCTCGTAATTTAACTTTGAACGCCCTGTTAACACCAATATTTAGCGGTTGGAATTCCTTGGTCAATCCACCCGGAATAATGGCAAGTCCCGAATTAGTTTGCTTCACTTGGGTTTTGACAATATTGGTGAGATGGCAATTGGGATTTGTGGAAAAGGGTAGTGAGCTAAGTTGGACACTGGAGGACGCTGTTGTTGTTGTTCGCCCCTCCAAAGGCAGGTGGTTGTCACTATTTTTGTTCTGGTTGGTCATCGTATTGTTGTTTTGACGCTGTTCCGTGCGGAAGTTGTATTGCAGAGAGAGTGTGTGTTTTTCCCGTATCGATAAAAAAGGAGAACTAAAAAAAGTTTTTGACCACGAAAAAATCGACAGCCATGCGTCTGAGTTGTCCTGCATCGCACCATACATCGACAATACAAAAACACAACGCAGACTCCGGGTTTTTGGAGGCACGACGCAACGTTGCACGGATTTGGGTTATACGATCATACTGTAATAATTGCTTGTTGAGCATCTTTTAATTGTGATAACAGAGTTAAACGTCATTGTTGGCTCCCAGTGTGCTTCAGTTCTGTGCCATCATGTGTGATGCGCTGTGTGGTTTGGCTTTATCAAATCAGTTCAAGCTCAGTAAGCACAACCAGAATTAATACATAAGGCGCACCAAATTATAAGGAGCACTGTCGATTAATTCAAGGATTTTAAGTGTATTTTAAATGTATTTTCAGACCTTTCAGTAAACTGGATGCAAATAAATTCCAATGGGAAACAATGTCAGTTATATTTATTTGTGCTTCCAGGCTAAAGCTGCAACAGAGCTGTCCCAGAAGAGCAAAATGAGTGTCAACGGTGTGTGAAGAGGATCCAGGATCTCTGGAGTGAAGAGGAGATGGGCGCCATTCCATACTTCATGAGACCTTCTTTTGTTTGAGGTCCTCAACTTGGTTAAAACAAGCTTCTGTTCTGTGTGGATTAGAAGGAGAAAAGCAATCTGAACAAATCTCATGGGGGAGAGCAGAGTAGATGTCTACTGGTGTTTTTGCTTCATGTTAGCAGCAGCAGCTTCCTTGTACCTTACTATTGTCCACTCCATTTATTGTACCTCTCCACTTAACCAGACAGAACTCTTACTAGATCATTTTCCTGTAAGTTGATTTAGACCCAGCCTCAACCGTCTCCTCCTGTAAATATGTTGTACATTTTCCTCCCTGTCTCATCGCACAGCAGCAGCACCTTTTTACAGTTTGCAATGCAAAGGCTGAATATCTTCTCAAAATCTTTCTATTGAAGATGAATTATTCCCTTTTTTTATTTTCTTTACTTTTATTTGCCAAACATTAACTCTTGTTCAGGATAAAAATGTTTGGAAAATTAGCTTTCAGCTGAACAAAATGATTTTGATCCTGCCCCTCTCAGGAATCACACGGCAGCCCAGTTTGATTAAATGCAGGAGGATAAGTTTAAATGTCAGGATCTTATTAGATCTGCACCAGTGGTTCCCTGCTGGTGCTTTAACTGCTAAATGAAGACCAGGGATAATAGTGAAACGTTGGTAGACCCCAGAGTTGATGGTGGTGAGGGTCATCTCTGGGAAACTTATCTTCTGTAATCTGTAAAAAATAAATAAATAAATAAAGATATTTTATTTGCATACAGTGTATGGATTGTGTTTTTAACAATGACACTAACATCTTTTTGATCTGAAAAGAAAATATGTTTGTCCTCAAAGATATACTGTATTATTAATGAGGCGGACAAGAGTCGACTCAAGGCCACAATTGAGATTTAATTTTTTTTTTTTGTTGTGGCAATGATAACTATGTAGCTTTATGACTGGTTTAACCCGACTCTATCTATTCAGTAATCTGTCATTAAGACAGTGTTTGACCCCGAGTAATAAATGGATGTCCGGAATGTGCACTAAAGTAATTGCGCAAAATTTGCCCTTCAACAACCCAGAGCTATAGAGTTTACTCAGACACAGGATTTAAGAATCCTTGAAATGGTTACTTAAAAATTAACATAGTAGGTATTTTTTAAATTTGTTAAAGAAAAATGTAAGAAATAATCAACAACAGTTATTGACTTTGATAGTCAATATCCCTGATGATTAGTTGACCAACAGTTAAGCAGCCAGGTGTCTCCACCTTTCCTCCATGTGTACCTCCCAGAGAATGACGCTAAAGTTTAAAGGATATTTTTAATACATTGGTGCATTATGAAGATTTAGTGTTTTTTGTTATTTGTGCATAATTTCAAAAGGCAGTTGGGATTGTGTTTTTCTTCATCTGAGTTATTTTGTCTGTTTGTTTGGCGCCCCCCTGTGGTCACTACATCTGCACATTTGAAAGCTTTTATTTCACTTTTCGTTTCGTCATACTTTTCACCTAAATTCTTCCAAGTCGTTGTGTCTGGTGTTCGGAAATTCCGTTTAAGCAGTTAGTTTTTTTTTTCACATCTATCTGCCTTTAGGTGAAACTCTCATTATGCAAAAACCTTAACAAAAAACTCCAAACAAAACGTGAATTAAAGCAACAGTGCAGATCCATCCATCCATTTTCATCCACTTATCTGTTACCGGGTCACAGGGGCAGCAGTCGCCACCCAAGTCACAATGCACCATACCAACCCCCCCAAAACCTTCCTGCAGGTGGTGAGTCCACTGGAAGGTACCAACCGCCCTAACCGGGATTCGAACTTG